TGATGGGATCCTTAGCTGTGCAAAAGCTTGTAAGTTTAATTAGAACCCATTTGTTTATTTTTGCTTTTATTTCCATTACTCCAGGAGCTGGTTTGAAAATTATATTGCTATAATGTATGTCCGTGAGTGTTCTGCCTATGTTTTCCTCTAGCAGTTTTATAGTATCTGGTCTTACATTTAGGTCTTTAATCCATTTTGAGTTTATTTTGTTACATGGTGCTAGAGAATGTTATAATTTCAGTCTTTTACAGGTAGCTCTCCAGTTTTTCCAGCACCACTTATCAAAAGACAGTCTTTTCTCCATTGTATATTCTTGCCTCCTTTGTCACAGATTAATTGACCATACCTGGATGGGTTTATTTCTGGACTTTCTATCCTGTTCCATTGATCTATGTGTCTATTCTTGTGCCAGTACCATACTGCTTTGATTACTGTAGCTTTGTAGTATAGTCTGAAGACAGGGTGCATGATTCCCCTGGCTCCATTCTTCTTTTTCAAGATTGTTTTGGCTATTCAGGGTCTTTTGTGTTTCCATACAAAGTTTAACATTTTTTTGTTCCAGCTCTGTGAAGAATGTCATTGGCAAGTTGATAGGGATTGCACTGAATCTGTAAATTGCCTTGGGCAGTATGGCCATTTTAACAATATTGATTCTTCCAATACAAGAACATGGTATATCTTTCCACTTGTTTATGTAGTCTTCAATTTCCTTCATCATTGTCTTATAGTTTTCAGCATATATGTCTTTTGCCTCCTTGGGTAGGTTTATTCCTTGGTATTTTATTCTTTTTGGCACAATGGAAAATGGTATCATTTCTTTAATTTCCCTTTCCGCTATTTCATTGTCAGTGTATAGAAGTGCAACTGATTTCTGTATATTAATTTTGTATCCTGCAACTTTACAATATTCATTGATGAGTTCTAGTAGTTTTCTGGTCACTTCTTTAGGGTTTTCTATGTATAGTATCATGTCATCTGCAAGCAGTGACAGTTTAACTTCTTTGTTCCCAATTTGGATTACTTTTATTTCTTTTTCTTCTCTGATTGCTGTGACTAAGACTTCCAAAACTATGTTGAATAAAAATGGTGAGAGTGGGCATCCTTGTCTTGTTCCTGATCTTAGAGGGAATGCTTTCAGCTTTTCCCTGTTAAGTATGATGTTAGCTGTGGGTCTGTAATATACAGCCTTTATTATGTTGAGGTATGTTCCATCTATGCCCACTTTCTGGAAAGCTTTAATCATAAGTGGATTTTGAATTTCATCAAAAGCTTTTTCTGCATCTATTGAGAGTATCATATGGTTTTTAGTCTTCAATTTGTTAATGTGGCGTATCACGTTGATTTGTATATATTGAAAATCCCTGCACCCCTGGGATAAGTCCCATTTGTTCATGGTGTATGATCCTTTGAATGCATTGCTGGAGTGGATTTGCTAGTATTTTGTTCAGGGTTTTCAAGGATATAACAACAAAGAAAAGAAAATTAAAGGCTAATATCATTTATGAAAATAGATGCAAAAGCCCTCAACAAAATTTTTTTTATTATTATTTTTATTGAGGTATAGTCAGTTTACAACATTGTGTCAATTTCTGGTGTACAGCATAATGCTTCAGTCATACATGAATATAAATATATTCATTTTCATTTTCTTTTTCACCATAAGCTACTACAAAA